GTTGCGCAAGAATGCGTACGTTGCGGAGATGCGGAAGGCTTAGAAGCAGTAAAAGATCTTGCGTGTCCGGTTGTATTCAACCCAGCACCGCAAGGAGATATAGACGCAACCATTACTGCTCTTGATTGGAAAATCCTATCACAGCTCCGYGCTACTGTCAGTGAATACGGAGTTACCAGCGAACCGGTTAAGCAGATGTTAGACTATCTGTGGGGGACACAGCTTCTATTACCAGCGGATTGCAAAGGTATTTCTAGGCTTATTTTTACTCAACATCAGCAGCTTCTGTTTAATGCGCACTGGCAGGCCTTAAGTCAACAATGCGTTATGACTCTGCGAGCTCCTGGGGACCCTCTCCAGGGGGTAACCCTAGACGAGCTTCTGGGTCGGGGGCCATATCTGCGCACGGAAACACAGGTCCGGATGGGTCCTGAGAAATGCAGGGAATCGATGCGGCTAGCTCGAATGGCCATCGATAGAATAAAAGAACCAGGAGGTGTGCCAACATTTATGAATATAAAGCAGGGGTGGGACGAAGCTTTCGCTAATTTTATAGACAAAGTCGCTACYGCTATGCAGAAAGCTGGGATCCCTGASTATTTGAGTGCTGTAATGCTTAAGCAGTGTGCRCTTCAAAAYTGTAATTCTGCCACTAGAAGCGTACTCAGCACACTGGGAGCTAATTGGACTATCGAGGAAGCGCTTGAACGTGTCGCTAGCGTTCCGGCGGGGCCACAAGCAATGTTAGCAGGGGCAATTARGGAATTGGGAACAGTTATAAAAGAACAGACGCAGGCTAGTCAGAGTCAGGTTTTGGCTGCGCTTGCGCCTCTTCAAGCTGTTGCAGCATTCAACCCCAAGGCTCCGTCCAGCGACCGGACCAGGTGCTATCGTTGCGGACAGTTCGGCCACACTCGACGGGATTGTCGGACCCCGGAAGTCCRTYGCTCCAAGTGYCACTCCAGCTCACACAGYGCCGGAACATCTCATCGGCGTCCGGGAAACTTCGGAGCCAGYGCGTCGAGTCATCGCAGCAGCCGCACTCCGACACAAGTAGCAGCTGTTTCCCAGCAACAGGCGCCGACAGCTTGCGACCTGCCACCGAAGGAAGCATCGGCGTGGACCTGGCAGCCGCAGTAGCTGTAACTCTGATCACTCCCAGACCCGTTAAAGTCCCAAGTGGAATAAAGGGACCGGTTGTTATTAACGGGCAGGCAGTGGGAGCCCTTCTCCTGGGGCRCTCCTCTGCTTCTATGTTGGGATTATTTGTGTYACCTGGGGTTATAGATGCGGATTACACAGGGGAGATTTATATCATTGTGCACACTCCGYTCCCTCCACTGCAGATYACCAAAGGCCAAAGAATCGCTCAGTTAATTCCATTGGAGCAGCTAACAAAAGCCCTGACTCCATGTAGTCAGCAAGTACGTGGAGACCGAGGATTYGGTTCCACGGRGGGGCTTACATTGTTAACTGTAGATCTGAGTAACCGTCCCAGACATGACATTACATTAGAGTACCAGGGAGAAGTAATAACTCTCCAAGGTCTCTTGGACTCGGGAGCTGATGTAAGCATCATCTCTCCGGAG